CCCGTATCCAGCGCATGTTCCGGGCTCGTCCAGAGCTCAGGAGGTCCACATACTTCTGCTGCAGGCTCTCGGCAGTTGTGAGCTCCACGCCAATACCGGTCAGGCAACCGGAGAAACCGCAGCTGGGGTGTTGGTCACTGCACGTACAGAAGTTACAGGGAATTTGGTGATACGAAAGACAAACATTCGTCGAGAAAGGAAACGCTTAGTCCGGTAAACAGTAAGCCCTTAAAAAGTCAAGGCTGCCGAGCGTACACTTTCGGTTATCGGACCCGTAGAGCGCCGACGAAACACTCCAAGGTTCCGCGTCAGGTGATGCCAGAGGCAGTGGCTATATGGCTGTAAAACCCAACTTTATACTCGCAGAAAGCGTTCGTACAGGCCGTAGGGTGCCCCTGGTTGAAAACAAACTGAACAGGTGTGTTCCTTCATCCTGCCACGCTACGCTACAGCGACGAAGCAGAAACTAAGCCCTTGCACTCTCTCAGTCCTTCATAGGATGAGATGGTAGAGCTTTCTTTTTAGGCCATTTCTGTCTGCGATTAATAATTAAAAAAAACTACTTTCACGTTTTGGTAGTTCAAATTTTCACCTATCCAAGCACTTCTTTTAAGGCGTTACCCAATAGGGGTTGTAACAATATTGTTTTTGGTATATAGACATACTTTGCTGACAAACAGGAGTTTATGTTGGTCGATTTTATTCTTTCTGCATGCTTTTCATGGATAGTTTAGGTTAAGTAAAACAATTATAAGCGACCTTTACTTATTTGCTACTGTGCACTTATCCGCATTATACACGCATTACCTACGCTCTAATCAAGCAATAAACACTTATCCATTATTTCCGAAGGAAAGTTGGGCATGGAACTTGTGCCATTAGGCGGCCTCGGAAGAAAGTCTGACCAACGAGACTAGTAACCCTGACCTAGGAACGCTCTCAAACCTCGCCCTCCCCCCTACCATACTTACTGCTTCTTTGTTACTCTAACCTCCCTTATATTACTGCAAGGACCGGATGATGAATAATCCAAAGCGCACGCTCGCCAAAACCAGGATCAAAGTGCATAAGACCCATGTGGGTTCTCTTCGATAACTATCATGTTAGAGCCCATGCTGGATAGTAAATTCGGAAAAAAATAGATTCAGCACAATTCCCCGTCCAGCAGCAATCTTGCAAGACAGCAGTAATCAATCGCCACGATAGCAAACATGAAAAGGGCATAATTCTTCTTAAGATTTTGGAAGTTGGCTGTATTCATTGTGTATTTCAGTTATTAATAGCGCTGATCGGACAAATGCATTGATGCACTCGAGTTTGAAGGACGTAGGACCAGACCCATGATTCCAAAAGAAGATGCCTTCTTATTTTTTCCGCGGCAAATGAAAAAAATTGTATGGAGAAATGCTAGGAGGTTCTACTACACGCCCAGCATAATGCAAAATTGATTTACCTGATAAAAATACTGTAATACACGCCAACGCTCTGTAAAAAATTTGCATTCTAAAACTGAACTTACACTCTTAAGAATTATGCCTATGCTGAAATAGCACAGGATGATATTTTTAATAACTCAATCGTTTACATCTACATATTCTCTTTTGCTGTCTTCGTTACTATGAGATAGCTTGGAACACACTATTACACATTTTACTAAGAACTACAACGGAGAACGGAATGGCTGTTTTCGATTGAGCAGAGCATTGTAAGCTAATCAGCCAGCCAACAATTTGCATTTCCAGCTGAGAACAAACCGCGATTGGGATACGACTGCATTATGTTATTATCGATGCTAGCCTAATGCCGATTGGACACAGAATGCCTAGTACTGAATGCATGCTACATGCCAGTTTGAAAGGCGTATGATCATATGCAAGACTTCAAATGAAAAAACATCCTCATTCTTGTGATCAATAGGCGCTGGTAATTTTTAAGACATGTCCTATGTATTGCAGAGTTATTTCATACAGTAAGGGCAAAATACTACACTCTAGCACTCTTTAAATTGCTTTCATCCATGAACTAAACTGACATTATAATACATTCATCTTAGATTCGGACACCATATAAGTATATCTTTATTCGGCCAATGAAGCCTGTTCCCCCTTGGTCGCCGCTACTGAAAGGTGGTTCAAAGAAACTTTTACGCGTTTGACTGACAAATAAAATGGAGAATGTAATGGGCTACTGAGTTGGCAGAAAGTCATCGGCCACCAGCTACTTCAAGCTACAGATTTAAGTCTGGGCTTACTTGGTTACTGAGTGAAATGTCTTACTGGTTGAACCCTAGCCCCCCCTGGCTCCAGTCCAGGTATCCAAGGCAAAAAGGGAACACTTAAGCTCCACTCCATAGTTGGAAAAAACGGCAAGCGACACGGTCACACCGTATATTTTGCAGCAACAGCGGTTGTCCTGATTAGGATAGTGTCGGTGTCACTGATGTCACCGACAAAAATCATCTTACTAAATGCTGCACATGCGCAATGTCACATGTGATGCAAAGGTAACATTCCCGGAACTGTTATTCGTATAGGCGGTTATATACGAAAGTCAACTAGCAAAAATTCAAAATAAATTCTACTGAAAAGGTTACGGTAGTAATTTGAAGTAAGTTATTTTTCAGAAGAAGAGGAAGGAGAAGAAGAAGAAGAAGAAGAAGAAGAAGAAGAAGAAGAA